CCAGTTCAGCCCGAAGACAGCTGGGATAGGCTCCAGTAACGCCCCGCGACCCTTGTGAGGATAAGAGGATCAGAAAATGGATAGATGGATGGATGTATCAGTCCTAGTGGCAACCCTTGTAATGTCAACATATCCCCTCCCAAACATTGCATAAGATAAGAAACTTTTATTTGTCTCACAATGGAAAAATTCCCAATTCACAGCAGCAAAATTATGAAAGGGAGAAAGTACAAGACAAAAAGTATATAAATAAATATAAATATAGGCATATTAAAATGGGTGAGCGTGGGTGAGTCCAGGTTTTCAGGTCTGTCTATTCAATAGCCTGACAGCAGTTGGCAGGAACGAGCGGCGGTACCTCTCCTTCTTGCAGCGCGGGGGTATCAGTCTCTGGATGAAGGAGCTGCCCAGTGCTGTCAGAGTGGTCTGGAGGGGGTGGGAGGGTCTGTCCATCATAGCTGTTAGCTTAGCTAGCGTCCTCCTGTTGCCCAGCGTCATATAAACCAAATCGATAGACTGTCAGAGAAATGAGTGACCGAAGTTGTCGGGATATTTGCCCCTGGGACCTGAACACATTGCGGCATTGGAGAGGGAGATGGAGACAGTGGACTCCCCTGACACAATTTCCTCCGCGGGAACGAAGAGGAGACAAGCAGGACCACGTGGGCAGAAAGGGAACGGGATGTCCCAGTGTGTCCCCCTGCACATTGCTGTGTGGAATGGAGTGTGAAAGACAAGAATGCTGAGTCCCAGCTGTGCCCTCTGTCCTGGGACTATGCGAGATGCTCAGATGAAGCCTCTGTGCTGCCCCTGCAGGCAATGTGGGGAATTGGCAGCCAGAATGGGCTCGTCAGACACACAAAGAACTCTCCTTTGACCAATAAATAATAAGTGAAGCATAGGGTCAGTTGTATTCAAACGTTACTCGTGTTTCGTGAGTTGAATACCACTTCTCACGTTGTTGTCACACCCTGATGCAAATCTCCAGCGAGGGGAAAAAAATTGGAGTGTGGTCTGTCATGAAATGTGAACATAAATTAAATGCAATCCACTGAGCCGTGAATAGCTCATATGATTATCATATGAAATATTGAAGCTGTTCTCTGCGCCCTGAGGGAGAAAGGTCTCCCCTCGTATGCCAGGCCTGGACATCTCATCTTGGCAGCAAACACAACTGATTAAACACCCACAGTCACAGACAGCGCCTCCATGAACGCACTGAGGGCTGACGGGAAGGACAGAGGCGCAACCTCGGACAGATTACAGAACCTTGTGCTTAGAAATGCAGCGTCGAGCGGGCTCAACCAATTTAATTATTTTTTTATGCTGCAAATAGAGGGGTGGGGGAAACATCCTGCATAATCCTCAATTCTTGTTTCGGAAAGCCAAAATGGATTAGTAATATTGCAGCAATGTATCACTAAAAATATAAAGAAGTTAAAAATCAAGACCTGCTAATGACAATCCGCACATGGCGGATTTATTTTGAGCTCCGGTTTGACAAAGCCAAAACCACCTACACACTAGTAAATGAAATTCAAAGTTCATACCAGCCCTATAGACGGGCTTGCTGGTTCATCTAAAAAAACTTTTTAATAACCAGACAGAAAAAAAGCGCAGTGAAAAAAAGGCAATATACTTCCTGAAGACATGATTTATACTGAGCACAGACAGCAGTGCTGCTTTTTTTTTTAAATAAAATCAACCTTTCAAAGGTGTGGAACCGGCATCAATGTGCTCCACATGTTCTTTATCCTCCAGCAGGAGACATCTCGAAAAGAACGTTACTGCAAATGTGGATTCTTTGTGCTCTCCTCTTCCTACGCAACGCTTGTGAATTATTAAAGTCACTGAAAACTTTTCCGTGAAAAGTAATTCCAATGCTTTTCAGTATGTAGACTGGAATAAGGGTGTCAAAATGACTGCCCACAGATTAGTGATAGTACATGATTCTGTGTTTTATGGTACCGGCGTGTTTGTCAGACCTTAATAGATTTGCCCGTATGTTTCCAGGTGCAGACCACTACTATGTGCATCTCGGTCAGTCTGAGCGGGTCGGTTGTCCTGGGTTGCCTCTTTGCTCCGAAAGTCCACATCATTCTGTTCCAGCCACAGAAGAATGTCAGCACTCTTCGGGTGGCCACCACCCGCTTCAGCGTCACCACTGGCCCGGGCTCCAGTTTCTCTCAAGGTACGTGGCGCACTTGTTGGCAGAGAGGACAGACTAGCCATGTTTAAACGTACATATCTATACTTCTGCATGTCTTTTTTTTTTGCAGCATCAGCGTCCAATGTCGTTCCAACGGTGTGTAACGGGCGAGAGGTGGTGGACTCCACGACGTCTTCCTTGTGAAGATGAGCTGAGTAACTCTGCCAAGCGTTGTAAACACAATTATATAACCACTAGTCCTCAAACAGGTGTCTGAGATATTAAAGAGGACAGTTGTCCTGACTTTGTTGTCCTCAAAGTGCTGTGAGTACAATGTCCCAATTCTTTTCTTCTGTTTTTCAATTCAAATAAATGACCAAGTGAAATCATGCCAATAAAGGTTACATAGAGTCTTGCCCTCGTTTTTACTGCAACAATGATCGTGAATCTGTTAAATGTATTATATACGGGATGTTTTTCATGTAGATTTCTGGTGAACAGTTTGTGCTTTCTTGTAATTTATGTAAATAAAATGTGTTTTATATTAATACGGTATGAGAATTCACTTGTGTTTTATTTGGATAAACCATGCACAATGTTTCTATTCTGTGCGTGTGTGCGCGTGTGCATGTGTGTTTGTGTTTTAGTTCATTTTGAACACAGCCACATCCCAGTTATAAGACGGTGCGCGTTATTTTTGCAAAACTCATTAGTCATATGAGTTGTTTTTACTTCCCCTGTCAAAATTATTTGTTTTCACTGGATGAATACAGTTCACGTTAATGATGGAAAAAGGTGAGAATTTATTTAAAACTGGAATTGTTTTATACATATATTCCACAAAAACCTGGTATTTCTAAAGGTGTGTGTCGACTTTTTATTTAATCCGCTGTAAAAATCTGACTATAAATACTATGATAGCACCTTGACTACGGCACTGGTGACAAGATGGTTTCCCGTAATATATCTTCTACCAAAGCATTCAAATCAAACGGAGATTTGGCTAAGATTCAGCAGTGATTGTAAATCATCCACCAGAAGATGCTACGACATTACAGCTTCATTCTACAGCCATTAAGTCACAATACAAACACACAATGTCATCCTGTACTGGTGTACAGCAGCATGATTCGGTCCTGGGTAAAATAGCGCCCGGCAGTCGTGATTTAACACTGCCATCTTGTGTTCAATTTGTTTCAATATGCAAATATGGGTGTCAATTTGAGGGGATGGCCTTGTAAAACGTCATTATTTTTCAAGATGTTAAGGGTCACCACGAAAATATGGGCATTAGAGAAACAAATATTGGCGACGAAAGTTAATTTCTACTGAAAAATACAAGCATTTTAGCAAATAAAAAGTAGCAAAAAATTCGGTCCATATTTGTATAGAGGTCAAACGGTGGGATGAAGATTCATCTGACTGGAATTAAATTATTTTTCGCAAATCCAAGTTCGAGTTTAATGTGTTTAAATGTTTTCAATAGTAGAGGACACTCCCCCAGTTGCTCGCTAGGTGGCAGTGCAGGCAGACATTTTGGCTGATTCCCGTCACTGACAACAGCATGGAGGAAGAAAGGAAGAAAGCCTGAAAGTCTTGAAAGTCCAACACCAACACAAGGAAAACTTCCCGAAATTCCGAAATCAGACCTTCAAGACTGTGCAGTGACTGTGAGTTGCTTGTTTGTTTTAATGTGTGTGTGTGTGTGTGTGTGTGTGTGTGTGTGTGTGTGTGTGTGTGTGTGTGTGTGTGTGTGTGTGTGTCGTTCGCGAACGAACCGGCTCTAGGAGCCGGCTCTTTGAAGTGAACGACGGGAGCCGGCTCCTAATAGGGAGCCACTCCTAATAGGAGCCGACTTTTTTTTTTCTCCTGATTCCCCCCCTTCGGTTAAAGCCGCACGTGATTGGTCGAGATCTGTAGTAGAAGAGGGAGGGGAGAGTTACACACGCACACACGCTGCAGTGAAGAGAAGGGGGAGGAGTTAGAGACACACAGCAGCACACTGTGAGCAGCACACGAACAGGAGAGACAGGGAGATGAGAGAGAGCTCGAAAGCACTACAGAGAAAAAAATAACACGGTGGAAAGTGGAAAGGTGAGAAAATGGATTGGAAACGCAGTGAAATTTGGACTCATTTCAACTTAAATGATAGTGACAGCGTGTAGACTGTGCAAGGTTAAAATATCCAATGTCAAATTTAAATTTATAATTTGGTGTGTGGTCATCAAAGCTTATTTATGTTGTTTACCTGTAAATAGTTAAAAGCGGATAAATATACACATTCAGAGATTGGAACTTTTTGTTGACCTTGTTTTTAGATCGGTCGTTGTTTTTGTACTTTGTAATGTATTTTTTGGAGCACTCCATGTTGTACTCCATGTTGGGTATGTTCAGAAGAATATAAATATAGCCATATAAATAATGAATATTTGATATACTGTATATTTTTTACATTAGGAATTCATTTTACACGTAACTTTACATTATTTTTGGTAGTAAATTAATTGAAGCAACAAAAACACTCAGGAGCCATTTGGGAGCCGAAAGAGTCGGCTCTTTTTAGTGAGCCGAGCGGCTCACTAAAAAGAGCCGGAATTCCCATCACGAGTGTGTCACCATCTCTAACAACACGCCTTTATTCGCGTGTGACAAAAGGCGCGTTCGGAACATTTTCATGGCAACGCAGATCCGTTTTGAAACAGTGTTATTTTCACACATCTTTCGCTCATTACAATAGGAGCGATTAAAGAAAAATCTCTCGTTGCACGTTACACACACTGTGACTGAACATGTCCGGACATCGCGGCTTCTTGAGCAACATAGCAGCTGTGCTTGTCCACTCAGCTACTTCATGGCACCAAAGAGACGGTCTGCTTCTGCTACCAAAGCGGGCGGCAAGAAGATCAAGGCAGAACCCGAGCTACCGAAGCCCAAAGATGCATTCACCTCGACCAAAGAGGCTCTTCTGGCTGCAGGGCCACAAACCAAAGGAAAGAAGAAGGTGGACGAACACTGCTCACTGTCAAGCAAAGGAGAGGTTAGCTACTCATGTCCAGGCCCAGTCAGTCGTTAAGATGCAGTCATAACTAAGTAACAAATACTGTACTCTATTGTTTTCCTCCAGGTGTACAAAGACTATGACTGCATGCTCAATTATACGAATGTTCGAAACAACTATAATGACTTCTATGTTATTCAAGTCATTAAAGCTGCCAAAAAGTACTATTCATGGGACAGATGGGGCAGAGTGGTAAGTTACGTGAATGTAGACGTGCTAGTTCAGGGGTGCCTGAGTCCGGTCTTCGAGAGCCCCAATCCAGCCTGTTTTAGATGTCTCCTCCTCTGCAAAGCTTGTTGACATACTGATCATTTGAATCATCTAAAACAGGCTGGATCGGGGCTTTTGAGGACGATTTGGGCACCCCTGCATTAGATCGGTACTGCTGAGCTATCATGGAAAATCATCGAATTGCATTTTTTTCGCTTATTATTTGATATATTAGCTGATACCTGATTCCTTTTTCATCCAACTTCAGGGTTACGTGGGTTACTCCAATCTGAATACGTTTTCAGACGTTAAGAGTGCCGTGAAGGACTTTGAAAAAAAGTTCAAGGACAGCACCATGAACAATTGGAGTGATCGCATGAATTTTGTGTCTCACTCTGGGAAGTACACTTTGATTGAGGTGGATGCAGGGGTCACGGTAATATTTTCATTTATTTATTTATTTATTTTTTCAGATGCAAGGTGGGCTGACTATGAAACAGGGAAACTCGATGTCACGCAGGCATGACAATGGCCTTCTCGGAAGCATTTTTAAACCGCATCGATTATCAGCAAAATCTGACTGTTGTCCCCCCCCCCCCAATTTGTTAGGTGGACATTGTTGATGGAACGGCTGTCAAGGTCACTAAAAACGTCCTACCTTGCACCCTGGACAAAGCTAAACAGGCGCTCATCGAGCTCATTTTCAGCAATGATATGTTCACGGCGGCAATGGAATGTATGAACTTAGGTGGGTGTGACTCAGTGCCTTTTCAGCATGGACTGGTTCAGGCACTCTAATCGTTTCTCAAAGTAGACACATGAGTGAGCCACTCAGTGGAACATTTCTATGACTGACCGTAAACTGCAAAGTTTCATTTTACCTCCAACCCATCTTCCATTATTTGCCAACCTTTCACAGTTTTTTTTTTTTTTTAAGTCTTGTCCCCACAGCAAGGTTTCGTGAAATATGCACTGGTAGCAAGTCCAACAGATATAGAACATTTGCAATTGAATCGAAACAAGAAATGTTTGTCATTTGCAAATTTGGGAATGCCACAACGTTTTCGAACAGGGCAATGCAACCTTGAAATCATTTCAACGTCTGGACTTTGTGTTTGTTGAGATAGACGTCAAGAAGATGCCTTTGGGTAAGCTCAGCAAGTTGCAAATTGCAAAGGGCTTCGAGGTGCTGGAAGAAATTGAAGCAGCCTTGACTCAAAAGAGCAGGAGGCCACGTCTTGAAGAACTTTCCTCCAAGTTTTTTACAACAATCCCGCATAACTTCGGTCGCACCAGACCACCAACCATTGACAACAACAACATTGTGGAAAAAAAGAAAGAGATGCTGATGGTAATTTTTTCTTTCTTCATTTTTACCGTATTTTCCACCCGAAAAGGCGCACCTAAAAGGTGTCCCTAAAGGCCTTGCATTTTCTTACAAGCTCACAGTGCCCCTTAAAATCCGATGCGCCTCGTGTATGCCTATTCGGTACTTTGTCGAGCCCCAAAATGGCTACTTGCTCGAGACAAGCTTACAACGCAGAGTTCAAACTTAAAGGCGATCGGTTTCGCAGAAATAGAGCAGCGGCAAGAGAGTTCAACGTTAAAGAGTCGATGTTATCATTTGCTGTTGGATAAGTGAACCGTGTCGCTGCTTTATTAAATAAGTTTGACATCTGATCGTTCTGTTGGCATTTCCTTGAGCGTAGCTCCATCTCGTGCAGGGGTCGGTAACCCAAAATGTTGAAAGAGCCACATTGGACCAAAATAAACAAAAAACAAATATGTCTGGAGCCGCAAAAAAAAAAAAAAAAAAATTTAAAGCCTTATAATGAAGGCAACACATGCTGTATGTATCTACCGTATATGAGCTATATTAGCCTGCCATCAACATGACTTAACACACAACGAGCATTCATGATTGAAAGTTTTTTTCCCCCTGCAGTTCATCCTGTAGAGGAGGGGTGCCCAAACGTTTTTGACGGAAGGTCTACTTTTCGAACAACCAACCTTCCGCGATCGACCCGTTATCGCATACGCGCACACACTTACACACGCATGCCGTAAAGAGCAACAGCCAGAACGGCCGCTAAGAAGAATGAGGCACGGGACGTACTTTCGCAGCTTGCTGGCTATCGTAGCTCATGTGTCCCGTTTAAAACTGCTTTAATATTTATTCGACACATTTTTAAAGCATCAGAAAACGTCAATAATGTTTGTGTCATATATGTCCTCTTGACAGAAACCATAGCGTAATATCTGTTTCTTGTTATTTGTTTATTTGAGGGCTGGGTTTGTTGAGTAGGGATTGACGTCATAGAGAGGCGACGAACCAGGTTGAGGAGTCAGTCTGAGTGTGGAGCGCATGCGCGTGAGTTGTGGCCAACAGCAGCTCATGTGAATGTGTTTTAATTGCTGCCTCGTTTTGTTTATTAAAAAGCGAACAGACTGCATCAGCGACTGTGTGCACCTTTGACCACATTGAAGGGCATTACAAAATTAAAACAAAAAAATATATTTCCCTCCCATCTTTTTCCATTTTCAACCATTTTTGGAAAAGCTCTAGGGAGCCACGAGGGGGCGCTAAAGAGTCACATGCGTCTCGCGAGCCGCGTGTTGCCGATGCCTGATCTAGTGGATGCATTATTGATTGCGTCTTATCATGCGGTGCGTCCAATCTATTAAAAAAAAAAAAATTACAAAATAGGCCATTCATTGAAGGTACGCCTCATAATCCAGTACGCCTTTTAGTGTGGAAAATACGGTCTTATCTTTTAAAAAATATCTAGCGGCTCGTCTTTCAGATGATTTTCCCCCGCTGAATTGTCGAATGCTCCTGTAGGTGCTTGCTGATATTGAGCTCGCTCAGACTCTGAAATCAGAGACAGAGAAGGCACAGAAAGAGATGATCGAGACTGTCCCCGACCCGCTTGACCAGGACTACAGTTCTCTCAAGTGCAAACTCTCTCTGTTGGATAAAAGATCAAAAACGTTCAAGATAATCGACAAATACCTAAAGCAAACACAGGGCTATCAGAAGCCCAAAATTGTCAACGTATGGGAAGTCGACAGAGAAACTGAGGTAGGATCTCGGCTGTATTTTGCTCTTTATCCAAAGGAATGACGGTAAGAGTGAATCACTGCACAATCGCAGGGGGCTCGATTTCAAAAGCATGACGACCTGGAGAACCGCCGTCTGCTGTGGCATGGCACTAACATCGCCGTCGTGGCTGCTATACTGAAGAGCGGCCTGAGGATAATGCCCCATTCGGGGGGCCGTGTTGGACGCGGTATCTATTTTGCATCCGAAAACTCTGTGTCTGCATGTTACGGTAAGGCCAAATAAATATGGACTAGTCACACATCTGAAATGGTGGTAACAATGACCAAATAAAAAAAAATGGCTGTCATTCTCATTTTTAGTGCACATGTCGAAAAATACCGGCGTGATGTTTTTGAGTGAAGTGGCCCTCGGCAGAGAACACACCATCACCACAGACAACTCTTCTTTGAAAAAGGCGCCTGCTGGATACGATTCTGTAGTTGCACGAGGTCGAGTGGAACCAGGTACTTCTCAAGCCTGTGTCGTGGCAGCTCGTGGTTGAACGACTTCACATAGTTGGTCGTCCACGCTCAAGTCATTAATGTCGACGCTGTGAGATTTCACAAAAACAGTCCCATTTACGATTAGGGAATTGTACGCTCATGCACTTTGAGTAAATTATGCCGCTTGCGGGCAAATGCAAACTCGACGCCAAAACGAACATCAACTTTTGATTTTTTATTTGCCTTTTATGTCTTGAAGAAACCACACCTCGGCCGTTTTTTATGAGTCATTTATCCCAAAACATGTTTCTATTCTGATTCCAAAATTGGAACTTTCACATTGTTGTGAAATCTCTAAAATGTGTACAATCCTGGTACATCCATGAGGAATAATAGTACAGTAAATATTCCCATCCCCGGAATTCTATGAAAAGGAATATCCTTCACCTGGAACAAAAGCCTGTGCATTAACATTTTGACTACGATATTACATGTTACCGGAACATACGTAAGCGGAAATTCCACTACCCGTAACCCGGATTGAGACGTCATGCCGCGGGAGCTTAAATACATGCAACGCCCACCCGATGCTACGGAACGACGACACCGAGACACATTTTCACTTCGCGTTTTTCGATCATCAGATTCGAAACGACGACGTGTAAGTGAGTTTTTATTGGCGTGCGTTTGACTGCAATTGCGAAAGATTTTAACTTTATTCACTTACGTCGTGTAGATCATGGCATCGAAACGTAGAAGAACTGTAATGATCCAGCGAGGAAGCAATCCAAATGGCAAGTAAAATCCGTCAGTATGCACAAGAATTACCAGACATTGGTGATCAATGGGACAGTTACTTGCAACTAGCAAGAAAACTGTATGACACGCAGGCAAACATTGTCATAAACCAAAGAATGCATCCAACCAAACAATCCAAAATAGACACATTTTTTTCCAAAGACAGAAAAAAAATAAACATTAAATACTGTACGTATTTTACTGTTGTGATTTTTTTTTTGGATACACCTGTATTGCAGTTTTTGTTATATCAAGTTTTTGGACAGTATATTTTTGTATTTTATTGATTGTGTTGTTCCACGTGCATTTTTGTCAACATACTTGCAGGTTCATAAAGGACATGTACCATGCTCATTTCCCAAATGCGGAATTTCTGTTATTAGGACAAATTGGACAGCGCAAACATGAGTCCGCACTAGAGAATATTTACTGTATTTAATTCAACCCCAAAACTCACTCATTTCTATCAAGCGATTTGTGTTTTCAGATCCGTCCAAAGACATCTTCATCACCCTGGACGGCAAGGAGGTGGCCGTCCCACAGGGTAAGCCTATCACGCAGTCTCAGTACTCTGAGAGCTGCTTCAGCAACAGCGAATATCTCATCTACAAAGAGAGTCAGTGTCGCCTGCGCTACCTGCTTGAGCTGAAAATGTAACAGCAGGGAAAGGCATTTCTTTAAAAACAGAAGGTGTGCCACGTTATGTCGGGCATTGCTTTTTTTTTTTTTGTTTCCTCTCTCACAATTTTCTTTGTTCGCACCTTCCGTGCTGTTAATCTACAGTTAATGAGTGTGAAGGATTGCACTTTAATACTCAGACATGCACTCGCTCCATTGACGAATCCTTTGCTTGATGAAACATAGAAGTATGAATTGTACCTTGTTTTGCCTCTGTTAATGAATGACGCAGGTGTACCTAATGTTATGACCGGTGACTGCAGGTAATCATGATCGACACTTTTAAATAATCGAGTGACATCCGCTTATGCTTTCTAATGCATTGCTTGATGTGCATTCTTTCTGTGAAGCATTTCTGACTGGCAATCTTGAAAATGGACTCAATTATTCTATAGATTAGAATAATTAAATTCTTCTGTCATTATATAATTAAGTGTTGACTGGAAGACTCGGTAAAATGTGCAATTTTATTACTAAGGTCAAACAAAAAAAATAGTGTGTTTCCGGTAACATGAAATTTCAGCATTGGGTCGTTAGGTCTGACAAAGTTTTTTTTTTCATCTTTTTTTTTTCCATCAAAAATGTAAACAAAATAACCATAAAACTTAAAACAAGAAGACATTGAACCCGCCACTCGGCGGCCGGCGCCGCCGCCACCTTTTTAGTTTTCTCCCTGCTCCGGACTCGGGGGGCCGGGGCGCGCCTCCGCCGCCGTCCTCCTCCGCCCTCGGTTTTTACTCGGCCCGTAGTGTTCATCAAATAGTTCGCAGAATTTTTTCGATACATCAATGGATGCTATTTTCTTAACATTACGGTGCGAGCATGCGACTGTCCGCAACACAGAAAACGCGGTTTAAACTGTCGTCGGAGATCGCGGCCGCCGCCATGTTTCAATGTTGTAGATAGACAGACGACGGGGCAAACAACGCACGCGCTCAACGTGAATATCGCGAGAGTTTGCGCCGATGTAAACCCTCGACACAAAAATGTCGAGGGCCGACCGTAAAGTTTTTTTTCAGCGTCGAAATTCTCGGTCAGTCGGGTTACCGGAAACACTCCTTTTTTTTCTATGCCTAATCATAAAGCACTGTCAATTTTTGAGCTGCTAAAAATATATATAAATAAATGCCCAGGAAGTGCTTTTGTTATGCAAAGCAATATCGAAATTGGAAATAGATTCCTTGCCTTGATTACGGTGGAACCTACAAAGTTGAACACCGCCCAAACTTGATTAGAAATTGGGAGTTCAAACCGAATTTTCTGCTAGAATTAAGTTCTATCATCTTAATCGTATATAAACTGCTTCAAACAACAAAGCGTGTGAGGGAAAAGTGGTTGGGATGCACATGTTTTATGTTTTGTGTTGTGTTTATTATTTCACTTAATGTTAACTGTTTTGTTAAGCACTTTGTTACAGCGCCGCTGTTGTGAAAGCGCTATATAAATCAGGGTGTATTGTATTGTGTAAATGTATTTCACCAAAAACATGCTAATGTAAATAGCATGTAGCTGGAAGTATGGCTCATGACTTGAGAATGGTCAGAGAAGTTTGCCCAAATTTTTGGCCATTAGGCTCCATTTTGTGTTGTCAGTAGTTTTATTTCAATTGTTTTAATTAGCTAGTATGAGAGTGAAGAATGTCCCAATGCACAATAAAGCATTATATGTGAAGTTCCTAATCGTTTGGAATGGCAGGCAGTTCGAGCCTGGATGGAATGAATTCACTTTCGATAATTTCTCGTGGGAAACAATGTTTTGATCCTGGTTTTGGTCAACCAGTGTCACAGAACGGATCGTGTTCGACTTTGGAGGTTCCTGTAGCACCGCGTGGTGTTCGTCGAATGACCAATTACGCTGTGATGTGATTTGCACTATTTGCTCGAACCAATAAATGTATGTCTCAAACTATTGACTATTTGTCAAAATGACAGACCGATGTGGGGACTGACCACTCGTTTTGTTTTATGAAAAAGTTAAAAAAAGGATTAAATATATAAAAAGTCGGTGGGAAGTCGGACCCAAGGGAAGACTGAGCTTGACTGGGGACAGTGGAGCGCGTGTCACTGTGAGAGAAAAGGGGGGAAACTGGAGACACACACACAGACGCACACACCAAATACAATGTGTCACAGTCCGTGCAAAACACAGCGCGAGTCATGAATGGCAGCCCTCCGGGAGCACGGCAGAGAAGAGGGACAAGGCATAGTTTTTTCATCTGAAATAGAGGAACATCATAAATCGACAGCCATAATGAAGTTCGAGATCAGATGCTGTTTCATTGGAAATACACACCTATAAAGGTTTGGACCTCCAGAGGCCGTCTGAGAGAAATCAACCTGTTGCGTCGGGACAGAGAGATGCAAGCGCAAGGTTCTTCAGCTAGGAGGCTGCCGATCAGTTTATGTTCCACAAGGAACAGTCGAGCTTGATTGTCTTGTCTTGTCCTGTGGAATCATGTGTACAATTCCAATATTTGACGCCTCAGGATTCTAAATAATCTTTTTCTGATTTGAAGAACACAAGGAACATCATGGGGAGGTAATTTTTCAAACGATATTAACAATAGAAATGACATACGATTAACTTTGTAAATCCAAATGATGTGCAGTATTTCAAATGCCGAGCTTAAAACATTGTGTTATAAGGTACCGTTTTTTTTTATGATGATAAATGTGACTAGCAGTTGCAACAGAATATAAACATCATAATTTATTGTTCAATTTATACACGCTAAGAAGTGGATGCCTTGCCTTTTATGACTGACTGGTTTATAATAGCTCAGACGCAGATCGTTGTCCTCGCAATAAATAGCCTGATCAACACTCTTCTGTGGCGTGGTCAATGTTGCTGTACGGGGAATTTAAGCGGCTCCATCAGAGAGACGATGCAGTCGAAACTATTCTCAATAAAATGCATTGCAGTTACGATCTAGAAATGGATATACTGTACATGTAGTGATATATGACTGCAATATAGACCCACAATATAGACAGTACAGGACAGTTACATTTTGTTACGGATTTGAAGAAGAAGAAAAACCTTGATTTGTCTCACAATGGAGAAATTAGCAAACAGCTTAGCCTTGAAAAATGTCATTATTTTTCAAGATGTTAAGGGCCACAACGAAAATATGGGCATTATAGAAACAAATATCGGCGGGGAAAGTTCATTTCTACTGAAAAATACAAGCATTTTAGCAAATAAAAAGTAGGAAAACATTGGGTCCATATTTGTATAGAGGTCAAACCGTGGGATGAAGAGTCATCTGACTGGAATTATAAATTATTTATCGCAAATCCAATTTCGACTTAAATGTGTTGAAATGTCTTCAAATGTAGAGGACACTCCCTCAGTTGCTCGCTAGGTGGCGGTGCAGGCCGACATTTTAGCTCGGTTGTGGGCCCATGGTGGCTGATTCCCGTCACTGACAACAGCATGGAGGAAGAAAGACTGAAAGTCGAGCTCCGCCTCTTCCTGACACACCAACACAAGGAAAACTTCCCGAAATTCCGAAGTCAGACCTTCAAGACTGTGCACTGACTGTGAGTTGCTTGTTTGTTTTTATATGTGTGTGTGTCATCATCTCTAACAACACGCCTTTATTCGCGTGTGACAAAAGGCGCGTTCGGAACATTTTCATGGCGACGCAGATTCGTTTTGAAACAGTGTCATTTCCACACATCTTTCGCTCATTACCATAGGGACGATTAAAGAAAAATATCTCGTTGCACGTTACACGCACTGTCACTGAACATGTCCGGACACCGCGGCTTCTTTAGCAACATAGCAGCTGTGTTTGTCCACTCAGCTACTCGAAGAGGATCATCATGGCACCAAAGAGACGGTCTGCTTCTGCTACCAAAGCGGGCGGCAAGAAGATCAAGGCAGAACCCGAGCTACCGAAGCCCAAAGATGCATTCACCTCGACCAAAGAGGCTCTTCTGGCTGCAGGGCCACAAACCAAAGGAAAGAAGAAGGTGGACGAACACTGCTCACTGTCAAGCAAAGGAGAGGTTAGCTACTCATGTCCAGGCCCAGTCAGTCGTTAAGATGCAGTCATAACTAAGTAACAAATACTGTACTCTATTGTTTTCCTCCAGGTGTACGAAGACTATGACTGTATGCTCAATCAGACGAATATTGGATACAACAATAATAAGTTTTATGTTATTCAAGTCATTAAAGCTGCCAATAAGTACTATTCATGGAACAGATGGGGCAGAGTGGTAAGTTACATGAATGTATACGCGCTAGTTCAGGGGTGCCTGAGTCCGGTCTTCAAGAGCCCCAATCCAGCCTGTTTTAGATGTCTCCTTCTCTGCAAAGCTTGTTGATGTACTGATCATTTGAATCATCTAAAACAGGCTGGATAGGGGCTTTTGAGGACGATTTGGGCACCCCTGCATTAGATCGGTACTGCTGAGCTATCATGGAAAATCATCGAATTGCATTTTTTTCGCTTATTATTTGATATATTAGCTGATACCCGATTCCTTTTTCATCCAACTTCAGGGTGAGGTGGGTCAATCCAAACTGAATACGTTTTCAGACGTTGAGAGTGCCGTGAAGGACTTTGAAAAAAAGTTTAAGGACAAGACCAAGAACAACTGGAGTGATCGCATGAATTTTGTGTCTCACTCTGGGAAGTACACTTTGATTGAGGTGGATGGAGAACAGGATGCAGAGGTCAAGGTAATATTTTTTTTGTTTGTTTGTTTTTTTTGTTTTTGGTTTTTTGTTTTTCAAAGATGCAAGGTGGGCTGACTATGAAACAGGGAAACTCGATGTCACGGAGCCCTGACAATGGCCTTCTCGGAAACATTTTTAAACTACATCGATTATCAGCAAAATCTGACTGTTGTTTTTTTCCCCCTATTTGTTAGGTGGACAGTGTCGATGGAACGGCTGTCAAGGTCACTAAAAACGTCCTACCTTGCACCCTGGACAAAGCTACACAGGCGCTCATCCAGCTCATTTTCAGCAATGATATGTTCAAGGAGGCAATGGAATGTATGAACTTAGGTGGGTGTGACTCAGTGCCTTTTCAGCATGGACTGGTTCAGGCACTCTAATCGTTTCTCAAAGTAGACACATGAGTGAGCCACTCAGTGGAACATTTCTATGACTGACCGTAAACTGCAAAGTCTGATTTTACCTCCCACCCATCTTCCATTATTTGCCAACCTTTCACAGCTTTTTTGCCAACCTTTCACAGTTTTTTTTTTTTTTTAAGTCTTGTCCCCACAGCAAGGTTTCGTGAAATTTGCACTGGTCGCAAGTCCAACAGATATAGAACATTTGCAATTGAATCGAAACAAGAAATGTTTGTCATTTGCAAATTTGGGAATGCCACAACGTTTTCGAACAGGGCAATGCAACCTTGAAATCATTTCAACGTCTGGACTTTGTGTTTGTTGAGATAGACGTCAAGAAGATGCCTTTGGGTAAGCTCAGCAAGTTGCAAATTGCAAAGGGCTTCGAGGTGCTGGAAGAAATTGAAGCAGCCTTGACTCAAAAGAGCAGGAGGCCACGTCTTGAAGAACTTTCCTCCAAGTTTTTTACAACAATCCCGCATAACTTCGGTCGCACCAGACCACCAACCATTGACAACAACAACATTGTGGAAAAAAAGAAAGAGATGCTGATGGTAATTTTTTCTTTCTTCATTATTACCGTATTTTCCACACTAAAAGGCACACCTAAAAGCCTTCCATTTTCTTACAAGCTCACAGTGCGCCTTAAAATCCAATGCGCCTCGTGTATGCCTATTCGGTACTATGTCGAGCCCCAAAATGGCTCCTTGCTAGAGACGAGCTTACAACGCAGAGTTCAAACTTAAGGCGATCGGTTTTGCAGTTCAACATGGAAATAGAGCAGCGGCAAGAGAGTTCAACGTTAATGAGTCAATGTTATAACTTGCTGTTGGCTAAGTGAACCGTGTCGCTGCTTTATTAAATAAGTTTTACTGACATCTGATCGTTCTGTTGGCATTTCCTTGAGCGTAGCTCCTTCTAGTGGATGCATTGTAGATTGCGTTTTATAATGCGGTGCGCCCAATCTATTAAAAAAAATGACAAAATAGGCCATTCATTGAAGGTGCGCCTCATAATCCAGTACGCCTTTTAGTGTGGAAAATACGGTCTTTTAAAAAATACCTAGCAGTTCGTCTTTCAGATGATTTTCCCCCGCTGAATTGTCGAATGCTCCTGTAGGTGCTTGCTGATATTGAGCTCGCTCAGACTCTGAAATCAGAGACAGAGAAGGCACAGAAAGAGATGATCGAGACTGTCCCCGACCCGCTTGACCAGGACTACAGTTCTCTCAAGTGCAAACTCTCGCTGTTGGATAAAAGCACAGAAACGTTCAAGATAATCGACACATACCTAAAGCAAACGCAGGGCTATCAGAAGCCCAAAATTGTCAACATATGGGAAGTCGACAGAGACACTGAGGTAGGATCTCGGCTGTATTTTGCTCTTTATCCAAAGGAATGACGGTAAGAGTGAATCACTGCACAATCGCAGGGGGCTCGATTTCAAAAGCATGACGACCTGGAGAACCGCCGTCTGCTGTGGCATGGCACTAACATCGCCGTCGTGGCTGCTATACTGAAGAGCGGCCTGAGGATAATGCCCCATTCGGGGGGCCGTGTTGGTCGCGGTATCTATTTTGCATCCGAAAACTATAAGTCTGCATGTTACGGTAAGGCCAAATAAATATGGACTAGTCACACATCTGAAATGGTGGTAACAATGACCAAATAAAAAAAAATGGCTGTCATTCTCATTTTTAGTGCACATGTCGAAAAATACCGGCGTGATGTTTTTGAGTGAAGTGGCCCTCGGCAGAGAACACACCATCACCACAGACAACTCTTCTTTGAAAAAGGCGCCTGCTGGATACGATTCTGTAGTTGCACGAGGTCAAGTGGAACCAGGTACTTCTCAAGTTTGATCACGCCTGTGTCGTGGCAGCTCGTGGTTGAACGACTTCACATAGTTGGTCGTCCACGCTCAAGTCATTAATGTCGACGCTGTGAGATTTCACAAAAACAGTCCCATTTACGATTAGGGAATTGTACGCTCATGCACTTTGAGTAAATTATGCCGCGTGCGGGCAAATGAAAACTCGACGCCAAAATTAACATCAACTTTGGATTTTTTATTTGCCTTTTATGTCTTGAAGTCACGACACCTCAGCCGTTTGCATTTGTGAGTCATTTATCCCAAAACATGTTTCTTTTCTGATTCCGAAATTGGAACTTTCATATTGTTGTGAAATCTCTAAAAATGTTTACAATCCTGGTACATCCATGAGGAGGAATAATATTTAATTCAACCCCAAAACTCACTCATTTCTATCAAGCGATTTGTGTTTTCAGATCCGTCCAAAGACATCTTCATCACCCTGGACGGCAAGGAGGTGGCCGTCCCACAGGGTAAGCCTATCACGCAGTCTCAGTACTCTGAGAGCCGCTTCAGCAACAGCGAATATCTCATCTACAAAGAGAGTCAGTGTCGCCTGCGCTACCTGCTTGAGCTGAAAATGTAACAGCAGGGAAAGGCATTTCTTTAAAAACAGAAGGTGTGCCACGTTATGTCGGGCATTGCTTTTTTTTTTTTTGTTTCCTCTCTCACAATTTTCTTTGTTCGCACCTTCCGTGCTGTTAATCTACAGTTAATGAGTGTGAAGGATTGCACTTTAATACTCAGACATGCACTCGCTCCATTGACGAATCCTTTGCTTGATGAAACATAGAAGTATGAATCGTACCTTGTTTTGCCTCTCTGTTAATGAATGACGCAGGTGTACCTAATGTTATGACCGGTGACTGCAGGTAATCATGATCGACACTTTTAAATAATCGAGTGATATCCGCTTATGCTTTCTAATGCATTGCTTGATGTGCATTCTGCCTGTGAAGCATTTCTGACTGGCAATCTTGAAAATGTACTCAATTATTCTATAGATTAGAATAATTAAATTCTTCTGTCATTGTATAATTAAGTGTTGACTGGAGGACTCGGTAGAAAGTGCAATTTTACTCTAATCATAAAGCACTGTCAATATTTTTGAGCTGCTAAAAAAATATAAATAAATGCCCAGGAAGTGCTTCTGTTATGCAAAGCAATATCGAAGTTGGAAATAGATTCCTTGCCTTGATACGGTGGAACCTACAAAGTTGAACACACCGCAAACGTGATTAGAAATTGGAGTTCAAACCGAATTTTCTGCTAGAATTAAGTTCTATCATCTTAATCGTATATATAAATGTATTTCACCAAAAACATGCTAATGTAAATAGCATGTCGCTGGAAGTTTGGCTCATGACTTGAGAACGACCAGAGAAGCTTGCCAAAAATTTTTGCTACCCATTAGATTCCATTTTGTGTTGTCTGGCGTCGTCAGTAGTTTTACTTCAATTGTTTTAATTTGCTGGTATGAGAGTGAAGAATGTCCCAATGCTAAATAAAGCGTTATAGTGTTAAGTTCCTAATCCTTTGGAATGGCAGGCAGTTCAAGCCTGGATGGAATGAATTCACTTTCGATAATTTCCCGTGGGAAACAATGTTTTGATACTGGTTTTGGTCAACCAGTGTCACAGAACGGATTGTGTTCGACTTTGGAGGTTCCTGTAGCACCGCGTGGTGTTCGTCGAATGACCAATTACGCTGTGATGTGATTTGCACTATATGCTAGAACCAATAAATGTATGTCTCTTAACTACTGCTTGTGATTCGTTTGAATTCTTACCTCATGACTATCAATGAGAGACGGATATGAAATGCAATTGATGCATCGTCACAAAGAGCAAGCCATTGTCAACACTTTTATATTGCTCACGAATTTGTCAAAATGGCATAACGACGTGAGGACTTACCACTGGTTTCGATTTATGAAAAATTAAAAAAAAAAAAAAAAGATCAAATTTGTATAAAGTTGGTGGGAAGTAGGACCCAAGGGAAGACTGAGCTTGACTGGGGACAGTGAAGTGTGTGTCACTGTGAAAGAAGAGAGGGGGGAAACTGGACACACACACGCACACACACTAAATACAATGTGTGACAGTCCGTGCCATACACAGCACGAGTCATGAATGGCAGCCCTCCAGGAGCACGGCAGAGAAGAGGGACAAGGCATCGTTTTTCATCTGAAATAGAGGAATATCATAAAGCGACGGTCATAATGAAGTTCGAGATCAGATGTTGTTTAATTGGAAATACACACCTACAAAGGTCTGGACCTCCAGAGGCCGTCTGAGAGAAATCAACCTGTTGCGTCGGGACAGAGAGATGCAAGCGCAAGGGTCTTCAGCTAGGAGGCTGCCGGATCAGTTTGTTTCACAAGGAACGGTCGAGCTTGATTGTCTTGTCCTGTCCCGTGGAACCATGTATGCAATTCCAATATTTGACGACTCAGAATTCTGAATTGAAGAACACACGGAAAATCATGGGTGGGTATATTTTCAAACGATATTAACAATAGAAATGACATACGATTAACTTCATAAAGCCAAATGATGTATTTCAAATGCCTATCTTAAAACATTGTGGAATAAGCTACCGTTTTTTTATTATTATGATAAACGTGACGAGCACTTTGTAACAGAACATAAACAGCATAATAATGTATGTGTTCATTTTATATACGCTAAGAAGTGGTTGCCTTTTCTTATACAGTATCACCGACTTATTTATAATAGCTCAGACGCAGATGTTGTCCTCACAATAAATAGCCTTATCAACTCTTCTGTGGCGTGTTAAATTTTGCTGTACGGGGAATTTAAGTGGCTGCATCAGAGAGGCGATGCAGTCGAAACTATTCTCAATAAAATCCATTGCAGTTACGATTTAGAAATGGATATACTGTACATGTAGTGATATATCACTGCAATATACACCCACAATATAGACAGTACAGGACAGTTTACAGTTTGTTACGGATTTGAAGAAGAAGAAAAACCTTTATTTGTCTCACAAACGATAAATTAGCAAAAAGTTTAGCCTCCCCGTCGGGGAATCGAACCCCGGTCTTCCGCGTGACAGGCGGAGATACTGTCCACTATACTAACGAGGAGTGTTGAGCTAAGTGTTAACTAATAATTATAAGAAATGGTTACATTTTTGCTATGCATCAATTCAAGCAATGACGTATCTTAGTCTTCATTCTTATTGGAAAAAAAAAAGCTGCGGCGAATGGCACCCACTTCGTCAGAAGCACAGACTGCCACGTGCAGGGCTGGAGTGCAATGATTTGACCTGACACCGATTTCGGAAAGGCTTCAGATACACTACACGTTGAGGAAATCTGAACTTTTAACTCAAACTACTTAAGTCCTTTCTACGTACAGAATCTTCACATCAGACCTTGCAAGTCGCTCAGAATAGCGATAAACACTTAACTTTTGGAATCGATTCCCACCTAGTTCGTGGACATGTGCTTGAATGCTCTTTGTCTATGTGTATAATTGACTGGGGACCAAATCCAGTGTGCCGTCCCGACTTTTAGCACTCCAGGTTCCAGCTTCCTTTGGCCCTGAACGTGATTAGCGAGAAAAAAAAAAATCACAAATGGAGCTCTTGTGTAGCCAGTGAAGTCTGTCGATTGTGATATTAACTATCTCTCTCTGCTGATCTCAGGACATCTCGGCAAAAAGACGTCCCCAATACGAAGGGATCAAGTCATGGAAGAGTAATGGCTGAGAAGTTTGATCCCATGATTTCCTCTGTCTCAAATCGTCCGGTGACAAATCTTACAACCGTCCCATGGGAGCAACATCCAACAGTTCCTTCCGATGTGGGCGTGGTCACAAGCTCCCAGTCGCAGCTCAAAGACCTTCTTGGCTTGTTCTGCATGGTGACGCTGAACCTTATCGCTTTGCTGGCCAACGTCGGAGTGATGGTGGCCATTGCTCGGGCCCCACACCTCAAGAGATTCGCTTTCGTGTGCCACCTTTGCGCCGTGGACCTGCTGTGTGCCGTTCTCCTCATGCCCCTGGGGATCATATCCAGCTCGCCCTTTTTCGGTACCGTGGTGTTCACCGTTCTCGAGTGTCAGGTTTACCTCTTCCTCAATGTGTTTCTTATCTGTTTATCGATTCTCACTGTCACGGCCATCAGCGTGGAGCGATACTTCTACATTGTGCACCCAATGCGGTATGAAGTCAAGATGACCATCAATTTAGCGATGGGTGTCATGCTTCTTATCTGGGTCAAATCGCTTCTCTTGGCTTTGTTCACGCTGTTTGGATGGCCGGCGTACGGCAACCAAAGTTCAATTGCTGCAGCTCATTGCTCTCTCCATGCGAGCCATAGCCGCCTCAGGGGAATATTTGCCGTGCTCTACAGTGTTCTCTGTTTCCTGGTTCCTTCAGTGATCATCTTTACCGTTTACTGCGCCGTGTACAAGGTCGCTCGTTCGGCTGCCCTGCAACAAGTCCCCGCCCTCTCAACGTGGGCCGCCGCAAACCCGGATAAGAGTCGGACTGACTCGATCAGCAGCCGGACCACCATAATCAACACCAACCGTTCTCTACCGCGGAGACTTTCCCCGGAGAGGGCGTTCAGCGGGGGCAAAGCGGCCCTCACCTTAGTATTCATTGTGGGTCAGTTCTTGATTTGCTGGCTGCCCTATTTCATCTTCCACTTGCAAATGTCTCTGACCGGCTCCATGCGCAGCCCGGGAGACTTAGAGGAGGCGGTCAACTGGCTCGCCTTCTCCTCATTTGCGGTGAACCCGTTCTTCTACGGTTTGCTCAACAGGCAGATCAGGGAGGAGCTGGTTAAGTTTCGTCGCTGCTGCCTAACCCAGCCTGTGGATTTTGGTGTTTCCAGCCACGAGGGCTCCTTGCAGGAGAACTTCCTCCAGTTCATCCAGAGAACCGGCAGCACAGCCGAAACCCGCTCCAGCTGTCCCAATGCCAGTCCCAGAAACACTATGGACCACAGGGTTAAGATCCCTGGACAAGTACCTGAAGATCACGCTAAGACCACATTCGATTGACATTCTAATTTATGGATGGAACATTTTCTCTTATTCTTAAGTCTACCTTTTGTTGTTTAATTGCAGTACTACATCCCGGGTGATCTTTCACTTTTAGTCAAGGTGCTTTGGCTGTAACAAACTATTTCATGGTTGTGATAAACTTTGTTCCTTCCCCCCCAACTCCTTTGAAAGAATGGTGGGGCATCTAGCGCTTGTGTCGCGTTTCCAACGGACATTATCAGCACGGCTCTACCCTGCTCACCACATTGCCCCAAACCGGAAAAGATACCGGAACCCAAGACTAAGTACTCCAAAAATACGATAACATTTATGAGATTATTCATACGGATTTCGACCCAAATAGACGTGCCCACCCCCCTATGTCCATATCATTCATTGAAGAGTTATTATGAAGGGAGCTTCGTAAAGTACTGGGTGCTAATGTTGCCTGGCAACGGTGTACTGTAACTTGATAAGAAGCAGTAGCATAGCGCGACTCCCACATATCAATAAATGGTCTCATCGCGCAGCGCAAACATAAGTGAGCTCCGGAGTGTGAGGAACACTCATGAATCTGAGGGACAAAACCTCCGAGTTCCTGTGTGAAACAGATATGCTAAATGTCACCTACCTTGGTCGTCATGACAATTGAGTGAGCCGGTGACTCACATAGCAACAAGGACCTTTGGGTTGGATGTAAGCTTTTGATCACGTTGTGTCTACCTATTCTGTGTCTGCATGCGTGACGAGGAGCACCCTAGATATTCTGATAGTCTTCATCAGTCTGAAAATGGGCTACGCGGCGGCAGGAAAGAATCAGGTTTATTATATAATTGTCATGTGTACAGGGAGGGAGCGATGGTGAATATATAATGGAATCATTACAGGACATTGATAATGCTCTTAGAGTGCCAACAAAGTGCTATTTTATGGCCGCCATTGTTTGTATTAGCCTTTCATAAAAGGAAGACAGAGTGCCGTGTTCACAGAAAATGATGTCAAAGATATGATCTTCTCTTAACTCATCCATCCATTCATTTTCTGATTTGCTTAACCTCACAAGGGTCGCGGGGCATGCTGGAGTTTATCCCAGCAGTCTCTGGGCAGTGGGCGGGGCACACCCTGAACTGGTTGCCAACCAATCACAGGGCACACATAGACGAAGGACCATCCACGCTCACACTCACAGCTTGGAAAAAATTAGAGTGTTCCATTAACATGCCATGCATGTTTCTGAAATGTGGGAGGAAACCGGAGTACCCGGAGAAAACCCACGCAGGCATGGGGAGAACATGCAAATGCCACATAGGAAGGGCAAAGCCGGAATCGAAGCCTCCGCCTCTGCACCGTGAGGCCGACGCGCTAACCAGTCGACCAAAGGGCCGCCTGGTTCCTAACGAAGAGCTACAAACCTTTAGTGCAAGGTTGTCTTTTTCACGAGAACCACAACATGGTGAGATGTGTTCCCCCAATTTTGAGTTGTGATTTATTGATTTGATTTTAACTTCCAATCATCTGACCTAATCCTAACCCTGGACCCGAGCCATAATCCCGAGCCTTAAACCGAGTGCCTAACATTAACCGTAATCCCAATTACAACCTAGAACCCCAGATCTAACACTGAATCCCAAACCTAAACCCCAAACTAACCCATAATCCCGACTGCCAAAGCCCAACCCAAACCAAAACCACTCAATCTAATCCTGACCCGATTTTCATTCCGACAACAACAGTACAGAAAAACATTGGCCAGACTATCACCCCAAGACAAACATTAAACCCAACCCGAATACAAACCCACACCAAATTTTGTAAATCTCACCGTCGCCGACCAAAACATCCTCTCGAGTCAAACTACACTAACTCCTGACCCGAAATGCTAACCCTCTACTCTCAACTCTCCCCCCTAGTCCATACACGTGTCATCGATGCGTGGTGTTCCATAGGCTATTAGTTATCAGCTTCTAAGGAAATACGAGGACAGAAAATATACATTCAGTGCCCGAGCAAAGATCTCTTTCCGAGTTACAACAATTTGTAGTGAGGTCGCATGCATTCAATTCACCAGATGGAGTCAAACACTCAACCTCCAATCAAAGGATGAAACCGCAGAGTCATGAGCAAACAAACAAAACAATGACAGAACTGAACAACTTGGGAGTCACGTTTGACTTCGGAAAGACATGACTCACAAACTGAAAATGACAAAACGAGAGAGATCGCCATCTCGCGGGGCAGAAAGAAATCTAAAGCGTTACACTTTTTGAAATGAACCGTTGAAGCAATTACAATAGAGCAGATGTCACTCCCGTTTGTCACTTTATTACGGATCTCAATGTTGTGTAATTCCTACTTTCAGGTTTAAATACCGTTACTTTGACTTTGAGGTATTGTTTATGAAAAACGACTCAAAGGAAATTGAAAATACTGTTAATTATATCCCAAAATTGACAGCGAAAGTTCAACATATATCATGAAAGCAATCCTTCCTCCCTGCCCTGCCTCTTCATCTTGGACTTTGTTCGAAACAGCATCTAACAGATTTTCGATGCATTTTATTGAAACAAACCTTGACGTTGAGGTGGAAAACAACTCAGCCGCGGCATACTTACTCATTGACCACTAGACGTCAGTACAGTACAACATTTGGAAGAGGTTACGATGATAGTTACAGTTTCAGAATTATTACACACAACTACAGTATTTGTATACAAGTAATAAATTGCATTTTCCACCATGTGTCCCCTTGAAATCATCTCCTTGCATCTATTTTTAATGCCGTCACAGCTTTCAGACTACTTGAATGACCTTAAAAAATGTCTTACGGTATGGTGTATCATTCTTTTGATCCATAATTAGGAGGAGTGCCACATTCACAGCAACTGTGTTTGAAAAGAATGGCGTATCTGAAGGACGATGGCTGGTGGCCCTTTCTCAAACAAGACTTAATGAGACATCGCATCGGGAATTGTCATGGGAGACAGGCATGTTGAACTTAATCAAGGCACGCCTCAGGCTGGAGCTATGCATCAGTACGGTGTTACGTTTCACTTGGGTGATAAGCACCAGCGGTTGTCCTCCATCTCCTGGACACGAACGAGTAGCAGTATATGCAGTCACCCCCGACCAACGACTACCAAGTGATTTAGTAAACGCTGGACTATCGAAAGACTTTGAATGAGGATAAAGAATATATGCCTGAGTATTGTTTATTGTCTGTCTCTGTGACGTAAAACACAACTCGTCCGGACCAGCCACCAGTCGCGGTCTGGCTTGTGTTCTCATTTATGATTACCGGTACTTCAAAAAGCGATTATAAGATGTCACGTGACATCTTTGTACGGCTGTTGATGAAGTACGATTAGGTCAGAGTAAGTAATGTCTCACAATATGTGATCTGAAAGCGATTTCATGCAAGCGATTTCTTCTCTTTGGTCAATTCTGCGCATTTTTTACATCTGGCGCACACTACTGACCCCAAGTGGACTAAATTATGCATGCATGAATCATCAGTTGCCGATGACTCAACTGGAGGAAAATTCTGACACCGCAGGTGGTGAAATTTCTTTTTTGTTGTTTGTGATTTATACTTCAGACGGAACAGGGATTCAACTCTAAAGGGTATGTGAATAAATATCCAGGCCAGTGTCAATCAAAACTGAGTCGCAATATCTTTATGGAGGCCATTTTTGCACGGCTCTTGTACTTGATCTCATGTGTGTGTGTGTGTGTGTGTGTGTGTGTGTGTGTGTGTGTGTGCGTGTGTGCGTGTGTGCGTGTGTGTGTGTGTGTGTGTGTGTGTGTGTGTGTGTGTGTGTGTGTGTGTATTACAAAAAGGATTAATTGGTTTTGTGTAACAATAATCATAATGTACTCGATAATAATGAGCTAATAAGGACAACAGCATCTTATAATCTGCAAATGACATCCAATATGATACCAAGCATAAAAACATGGCAGGAAAGCCTGCTTGAGAAGCAAAAATGCAAATCAATTTAGAGGGGCTGCATTATTTGACAACAAAACACTTTTATGCATTACTAACAGCTCCCCGCCCCATCACACAGTCAAAGTGTTCTATTTTTAGACGCGGCTTGGCCGGGTGACGTCTATTTGGCTCGGGTGGCCTCGCTTAGACTCTGAGTGGACGAGGCCGACCCACCTTCAATCTCGGCTGATCTATTTGCGTCCGTCTCCCTCCTCACTGGCCCGCGCCACAGCAGGAATGCTGCCCGGATCCATGCCCTCTGATCCCATTCCTCCACGCTTACCTCGGCCCATTGGTGCCACCTGGGAACCAGAGAGGCAAATGTTAATGCATACCCGCACGCCATTTGCTTGAACATGATATCCAATCATCAACAATCCCTTAGCTGGCTTCTTTTCCAAGTTCCCATGGGGACTGCTTGCCTCCTTTCTTGTTCTTTTTTCGGGAGCATGACAGGGTATGAGCTTTTTTTAACGCAACAATCTGCTATAGAAAGCGCTGATTGATCGCAGCAACTGCATAATTGAGGAGGACCAAAATGCCATTCTGGCTGTAAGGGGTTCACTTGAGTCGCACATTGTGTGTCTAACGGGTGTGACAGACAACGATGCACTTACTGTAACAATTATGAGACCAATGTTTTGCAATTATAGAGATTTACAATACATCAACCCTAATGCATGTTTAACGGATTAGAAACATCTCCCAAAACTGTGGTACAGTTTATACAAGTGCAAAGTGCAACCACAGTCATAAAAATGGTGTGAAATTAATACCTCTCAGTCGGTGACAAACAAAATTAAGCATTGCTATCTTTCTAAAGAAATTTGTTTTGTTACAATCTGGGGCACGCGTGTCAAACCCAAGATCCGGGTCACCACATCATTTCATTTTTTTTTTTTAACAATCTCCGTTTTAAAATCAATTGTTTAGTAGTTGAACTAATGTATTGGGAGGGTGGGGGGGGGGGCTTCTGATTTCAGAACAAGTTATCCATCAATTTATTGTGTATACTGTATGTAGTAATATGAGGTGATCATACATTTGATTGCTTGGTTCACAGGCGTAATGGAAAGCATAATTCTAATGTGACACCCCTGAATAGGGTTCAAATTCATTTCGGTCATGCACATGTACTCATTGAAATGGTTGCCGAGTGTAACTCTTGATAACTTGACTGAATAAAGAGATGACAGGCCTCCCGATCAGCACCGCAAATCCGAATTAATTTCATGAGCCGATGAAGACGTCGTTGGCGCTGTGAACCATCTTTAACAGTGTCAGTTCACATCCGCAAGACAAGAAGTGCAGAAACTGACAGTGTAATTAATGTTTTACTTCTTCGCTGTTCAATGTTCCCTGCCCGCCAGCTAATGTAATT